GTGCACACCCAAGTACTTGTAGCTGGAGACCACTTCCACCGTAGATCCCCTTATGTTCAGGGGGGTGTAGGTGCGTTTGTTCCTTCTGAAGTCCACGACCTTCTCCTTCGTCTTCTTCACATTGATGTGGAGGTTATTCTCCTTGCACCAGCTCATCAATAAATCAATAGAGCCATCAATAAAGTTCTTATCTTATCACTTCTATTTGCTTCAATTATCAGTACTAAAACCGGTTCTGACTCGTTTATGCTTCTCTTGCCCATAATCATCACCCCAACAACCATCAGGCGACGACATCAGGGGGCAAACATTTAAATCACACAGATGCACAGAAACACTGCAGCTTAAAAAGTAACTTTATTTGAACTATCACATGATTTTCATTCCAGAAATGCAGACAGAAGCAAAATCATTTTTTCCTCTTTTGGAATTGCTTTAGGTGTGAAAGATGCCATCTGTTTAATTTTGAGCCGTTGCTCTCGACACATTCCTCTCACTTTCCAGCAGTGTGAGCCAAAAGCTGACCCTGGGCACAGCCTGTGAGCGAGGCTTACGTCATCTCGTCAAACAATCTGGATCACTGCACGACTGTTCGTCATAGCCGAGTCTGGTGTGTGTACCGAGCTCGACGGGCTAGTAAACAGTTTAGAGTTCACACCGTACAGAAATGATGAACGTTCCCATCCTGAATTTACCTTTGGTTAACAGCCTCAGCTTCTTTCTCTCTCCCTCTCTACAAGCTGTGCCCTGAGAATACAGTGTGCAGCAAGTCAACAAATAAAATAAGATACCACCATTTATACATTGCCCTGAATATAACAAACACTGATAGTGATGAATGAAAATCAACGCACATCCAGAGGACAACTAAACCCCGCCAAGCAGGCGTCGGCTGCAGTTAAGGCCTTATAGTTTGTGTTGGCAGTGAGCGTGCGCACGCTGAGCACGGCCACACTGCGACTTTAAAGCATACGCAGTGGTGTCAGAGGTCGGCGTTTATCCGCTTCAGTGCAAATTTAAAATAATTTGCCACAAATCAAACCCCTTCAGTTTATCAGTGATCTTCCAATCGTTGGAGCTTTGTTGCCACAAAAAGAAAAAGTGTGCACAAAATATTTGAGCCTAAAAGCAAAACAAAAGAAAAGATCTAACTGCCTCTAAGTTGATAGGATACACTTCAGGATACTGTATAAATCTTTATAAATTGAGGTTAGAGCACGAGCATCATTAACACGAAGCACTTTCATTATTAACCGTTATAAAAATACGTCTGCATAAAATATGCTTCTACAGACGGAGCTTTGGTCCTTTTCCAGTAATCATCTTCATTTATTCATGTAGACTTTCTCTAATCGATTAGAAAAATAAATCCTGAATCAGGATTATTACAAGTGGAAATCTTCCTTATAAAAATATTTGACCTTTTCCCAGAGAATGAAAAAGAAAGTTTGGCCCAAAAACTGTGTGTGAGAGAGAAAAAGGAGATTGTCTGAGTTTCCTGGCTGCTGTGTGTAAATGTGTGAAGAATGCACAGATTAACTCAATTTTAATAAAACAAAAATTCAGACGGACGCAGGACTCGACTCGGAGGGCTGAGCTCAACTCCTGGTCATGTTTGTGTTCGTTCTTGGTTACAGTGACGGGTGCTCGTGTGTTTTTGGGTCTGTCTGGATGGGGGTGCGGCGGTGCGTTCAGGCTTGGGGCTCTGGGTTCTCGGTCTTGGGCTCGTTTTCCTCGTCACTTTCAACGCCGCCGCGAGTAACGGTGCGGCGGATAGGGAAGGGGAGGTCGCCACGCCTGCAACAGAAGAGAAAAGCGAGATGAGCACAAACTGTGACAGAGCAGTCTCTGTGGATGGTTCAGAGCAGGGGTGTCCAAAGTGTGGCCCGAGGGCCATTTGCGGCCCTTGGAGTGATTTTGTGCGGCCCACGACTGCAATTAAAGAATGGTTAAATTTTGACTGACAGGAATAAGAGGTTGATGCAGATGTAGACCTTTAGATTTAATGGTGATACTTTATATAATTTTTAGGTTTAACAGCAAAAAAATATGAAAATAATATTGTAAAATTTAGCTATAATTAATTTATCCTACAACAAACCTTCACTGACCTATCAAAGAGTAGAATTTTGCATGATAACTTATAAAATGTCAGTTGAGTTAATAATCGATGGGGAGAAACTTGACATTTTTAAAATAATATAAAGTGGCATCACTGACATACAAGTTGATCAACTTTGTCACGTTATGAATCTGTTTTAGTAACTGCCAGCTGTTTTTCTGAACTTTGACGACCCAGATGGGTCGTCCATTGTCCAAATGGGGGATTGAAATTTCATCCCCTTTTTTAAAATGTCAGTCATTTTAGGCTTTTGGCTCTGAAAATAAATGAATAAACTTTCAAAGCACAAGAAAACAAAAAATAGTCCCCCCCCCCCCCAAAAAAGTAATTAAATTCTTAAAAAAAGAAAAGAAAAACAAAACTAGGTTAATGTTTCCCCTGATGCATGCTCAGTATGGGTTGTTAATGTTAATGAGG